GACCCTCAGATTGCGAGTCCAGCGCCCTAACCACCTGGCCATGCCGGGCCTTCATTTATGAATCCAAACCATGATCCCCAATAACAATCGATGCATGGATACTTCATAAGATCTCCCACTCCTAAAACTAATCACCTTTAGTGTATTATTGATGTTTATCTTTGGTCTTGTTAGATATTACTATCTTAGAACACCTGTTTTGTTTTTGTTCTTTTTTAACAACTGTGAGAAAGTTAAAACAATACATTACTATATACTTAATATGTGTATCCGTTTGAAGTTGTGGGGTACTAGAATATATGATATGTAGAAATATTAGATGTTTTTGGCTTTATATGCAAGTGTGTGTGGATTGGGGGATCGTCAAGTACCACAAACAAAACTGAGTAGGCGAGAAAAACAATGAAAGAGGTTTTATGCACCAAAATCGATCCCCAGGATACAATCTGTACGTACCCCCAGTTTGAGAACCACTGTTCATGTTTGATATTTATTTTTTTACCACTTTATTGATGTTTGTTACCATCGTTTGAATGACCATCGTTAAATACATATATATTATATGCATATATTTTAGGGTTTTGCTGTCAGAGCAAGAAGGGAAAACAACTAAACTGTAACAAGATTCAGTTAGGCTTAGGCCAGCGATGCCGAGAGTCCTGTATGTGTAAAGAAGGCCTAGTATGTCATTTCGAACAATCGTCTGGTGGAAAGGAAAAGCCCGGGAAAAACGACAAAGCCCCACTGGGAGTCTGTAAGCCACCAGAAGTAGTCGGTCTTCCATGAAACACTCATGTGATTTGTGTAACATGTTACAGTTAAATAATTACATGTTTTTAAGTAAGATTGCACATTTTCATGAACCTATAGACTCGCACTTAATTATGTATTTTTTAAGTTAATTTTATGGAGAAATTTTAATGTGTCTCAAAATCTATGGTTTAGAAATGGCGCTGCTATAGATAAAAACGTAAGATAATGTATCTTTGTTGTCTGTCATTTTACTTAACGTATCACTGAATTTTTATTTTCAATATTATCTCAAAGTTAGTGTAAAGTGCGTATTTTCACCAATCTCGAAAAATGTGAAAAGTTTAATTAATTTTAACGACATGGATAATTACACAATTAAAAACAAACAAAAAAAAACAGTGGTGGCGTGGTGAAATTTCCACAATACAACAATATTTTAAAAGCTATGAAAAAAATCTGTAGTCAATGTTTCGGCCAAAAGACATGATGGATGTTGAGAAAGCTTTATATTGCCAAACTCTTAACCACATTTTTTAAAAGTGGTTTTGATATTGAAAGAAAAATGGAAATTTTAAACTATTTTACAAGAAATATATATCAAACTTCATAATGATCAAACCAGAGTGTCTAAAATGACAGTCATTCGCGAGAACAATAAAATTTCAGAACACCACGAAATTGAAAACTGAATATTGAATTTTATATTAAAAAAAATATCAGCGTAAGTGTGTTTACAAAAAGTAATAATAAACATGAAACACTCTACTTATAAGTCGAAAGAGTCTCAACTAATCACTTCCCCCTCGTTAACACACTTGAATGCTTTAACGCAACAATGTAATGTCAATTTACACAATATAACAATACTAAATCTTCTAGAGTTATGTCAGTTTTTTTAAATGTTAAGGTTGTGAAGCGGGTGTGTTTTAGCAGGTAATATTTAATATTGAATATTTGATTTTTTTTATTAAATAAAATGAAATGTTGTTGAGCAGTTAAAACAAAATTTCCTACAAATGACTTTTTTTTTTCTTTTCATTTCAGTATAATATAATGTTATATATAAATGCAAATCACCAATGGTCTGTGTAAATTAAATATAAAATAATTACACGAACTTTTCTTGTTAATCAATTTTTGGCAGAATATATCATTTTCGGTAACATTTCCACTTTTAAGAAAGATTAAACAGCTCGAGTATTCTAGCAACACGGGCCTATTGTTTAATTTTGGAGTAACAAAAAGTTAATTTCAACGTAAGTCTAAATATTTTACAAGAAGAAAAGGAAAAAAGATGTGGAATAAATAAGACACGTTTTACAACTTGACAATTTTTATCGCATGGTTTTATAGATGGCGTAGAAGGTATATTTTGATAATTGGTTGTATGAATACGCTGGAGAAGATACTGAGTCACTGACTATATTATACATCGCAAGTGTATGTTTGTGTGTGTGTATATATGTGTGTGTGTGCGTGTATACACTTTAAAAGTTAATGTAGGTGTATAACACGCCGACAGAAATATGTCCTAAAACAAACAAAGGTTGATGTCTGTTACTATCTTTTTTTTTCTTCTTTGCTGTAAGTGTCTCGAGCGAAGAACAAAATTTACTATATTCAATAAACTATTCCAAAAATTGATTTATTGGAGATGAACAAGACTTGGTTATAATTAAGTTCCGTTGGCGTTTCTCCCGTCCACATTCTTGTATGTGTACACCATGATTGCAACAAAAGGCCAGACAGGAGATTAGCAAACAACTATCTGAACGACTTTAGCTGAACCCTGGATACCCCTAGGCTACTAAACCTGGAAATCAGTGGCACCATCTATCGGCTATTTTATGAAACGTACTTTACAAATAATACTCGAAATGTTATACAAAAAAAATAATGATGAAAACTACGAAAAATAATATTTTCAGATACGAGCACAGTTCTAAAAATCTGCAAGAATTCGTAATACAAAGTATACAATTTCATAAAAAAATAAACATTAGAAATTCTCTCGTGCCTTGAATTTGAAATCCGAAATAAGATTTTCTACTTGTGGTTGAATAGCATTCCAGAATTCTAAAACTGTTAAAGGCATCGAAGGGTTTCGCGATAAACTCCGAAATTTTGCTTCTTTTAACTTTGCATTTTCTTGTTTTCTGGCGAATCAAATAGATATTAAAAATGGATAACACAGTATATACACTTGCACCTGCAATATTCTGACAACTAAATAACACTACATTGTAAGGTAGCTTATAGAACCTGTTTTTCTCATCCTGTGCACAATATAGTGATACTATTTAAGATGTAAATGATTCAATTGGTCAATTTGTTTGTGACGTCTCGTTATAACTATAGCTTTGGCGTATGTCATTCCTAGTATAACAATATATTATAAAGAGTGTTATGTGTATAATGAAAACAAATGTATTAGTTTATGTGCCAAAATAAAAACAAGAAACAAAAAACTTCTTTGAGTTATGTTCTTTCCAGTGAACAACAGTAAAAATGAAAGACGACATCCATAATAGACTGTTTTTCCTAAAGAGGGCACTGCATGCGTTTCGAACTGCATTTGTCTAGAAAACCGGAACAAGACACAATTTATAGCATACTTGGAATTGTGAGTCATATTTATACACTGGCTCAATGGGAAAGTGTTTGTTCTGAGCAATAAATTTAATATAACTTCACGTTTTCCTAAACAGCCCACGTATTTTATCTTGTTGTTTACTTTACTTTCTTTAACCACTTCATATCTCCTTTTCAATGTCCTAGTTTGTTCGTTATATATATACTTTTCTCTCTTTCTAACACTTCGGCCTAGTGATTACGAAGCTCGGCTCCCAATCTGTGGGTCACAGGTTCGAACCCTGTCACACCGAACATGCTCGCCCTTTGAATGGTGGGTGCGTTGTAATGTGACACTCAATCTCACTATTCGTACCCCCCCAGTGTCACAGCAATATGTCTGCGGACTTACAACGCAAGAAACCTGGTTTCGATACCTGTGCTGGGCAGAGCACGGATAGTCCATCGTGTAGCTTTGTGATTAACTTAAAACAAACAAACGCTATTCGTTGATACAGAGTAGCCCAAGAGTTGGCGGTGGGTGGTGACTAATTGCTTTATCTCTCGGGTAGCTGTGCGCGAAATTCAACAAACAGACAATATATAATCAATCCGTATATCCTTCTACAAATGTTTTTGTACAACGTAAAAGTAATATACGCACGCGTTGAAATTTCAAAAAAAAGATGTATCTTGGGAAAATAAGCCTATTTTTAATGAATACAATTTTCCACTTTATCCAATTTCGTTCCAGATAACATTGAGCTCTTACTTTTCAAGGTTTACTCACTATGACGTCATCATAGTGACTAAAAAGACGTTCGACAGGTGGCTCTTTCCTCACATCTTAACCGTGAGAAGTCAAGAGAAAGTAGGAAATTTTCTGTACTTTTATGTTGACTTTCAAATCTACCAGACTAAAAACCTCTTGCATAAAGACCCGGCCAGTCACACACACTAGGTTATGCTCCCCACCCCTCTTCTGAAAATCCTGGACTCCCCAGTAGGAAATGGTTATACACAACCAACTAGTATACAAATTCGATGACGAGGAACCAACTTTGAGACTAATAATGGTTAGAGACGGCTTGAATGGGTAATGAATAAAAACTTTAATATAAGTTTAACATAACAGCAAATGTACAACGTTTCGACAACGAACATTTCCTTCAAATAGATGGTTTAAGTATGGGCAATCCTGTTTCGCCAGTTCTTGCCAATATATTTATGACCCAGATCGAAACACATGCCATACATTCTGCGCTTCATCCCCCACTATACTGGTACAGATATGTCGATGACACTTTTGCTGGTTTCACGTCTACAGAACAAACACTTAACTTTCTTTAAACACAAATTCCAACATCAAATTTACCATAGAACACGAAAACAATAAACAGTTATCTTTTCTTAACCTCAAAATTGTTAGATCGGACACACAGTTTAAAACCAAAATTCACCGCAAGAACACACACACACTGGCCTCTACATCCCCTGGAATTCCGCTCATGACACCACACACAAAAATCAATACACTTAAAAACCTCATAAACACAGCCACAAGACTCTGTTCAACGGACTACATAAATGAAGAAATTAACACATAAAGCATTCCTTTATTCACACCAATAAATTTCCACCAGCTATTGTTGAAAAACTCTCCAACATTCCCCACAACAAAATTCAACTCGCGAACAAAATTGATGCTAACAAACCCAACAACAGAACATTACACTCCAGTTTACCTTTTGTTCCTGAAACCAGCTCAAGAATTATCCACACTTGGACAAAACTAGCCATTAAACACAATATTCCTGTCAACGTCAAATTCTCACATAAACGCGGCCCTAAATTAAAATCTTTACTAAACAAAAATTATTTAGAATCATCCAACACCAACGTCATTTACAAAATAATGTGCAATAACAGCCCAGAGTTTTACATCGGAGAAACAGGAAGAAAATT